AAATAAAATAAAATAAAATAAAATAAAATAAAATAAAATAAAATAAAGAATAGTATTATCATTGAACATTATAGCATAGTAAACTTGACAAGCATCAACAAACTAATTTTCATTGTATTTTGGGAAAGAACTCTCTTCAAATGTACTTCTTTCTATTGTCTTTAATTTTTAAAATTGTGGCATACTGAGGTGAATTCCTAACTCATCAAGCAACATCAGCATCTCATCTCTCTCATAAGCCATATACTTCTCTGTGTCTTCTTTTTGCAATGCTGTGAGCAGGGCTTGCTTTATGCCAGTTATGACTGTGGATCTTCAATTAGTTACAAGAAGGGCAACTTTGGATAGCACTTGAGGAAGGGATGGTGATCAAGACATTTTTAACTGCATGATTCATTATTTTAACTGAAAATATTTTGTTAACAATAACTTAAGAAAACATAGCAGGGCTTCAGTGTCCTTTCTCTTCCCTGCAGGTGTCTTCGGCAAGCACTGTGAGCTGAACAGTTATGGATTTGAGGAACTGTCATACATGGAGTTTCCCAGCCTGGACCCCAACAACAACTATATTTATGTCAAGTTTGCGACTATCAAAAGTCATGCTTTATTGCTTTATAACTATGACAACCAGACAGGAGAGCGGGCAGAGTTCCTGGCTCTGGAAATTGCTGAAGAAAGACTCAGATTCTCATATAATCTGGGTAGTGGGACGTACAAACTGACCACCATGAAGAAGGTGTCGGATGGACAGTTCCACACAGTGATTGCGCGGCGAGCAGGCATGGTGAGGCATCTTTTCTCCCTCAGCATCCCTTCTCTGCACTGCAGCCAGTTAGCCAGGCATCCTGGGAAACATGCATACAGGTCCACATCACAGGATAATATGCGAGTTTGTTATGTGACCTCAGAGCCGATATCTTTCTTTGGTTCATGGTAACTATGCTGAAGTTTCAGGGAGAATTAAGGATGAGAAATGCATTAGCAGCCCACCCTGCTCAGATGATTAAATGCAGCCTAGGACTACATTTAAAATGATCATTTTTCTGTCTCAAGGATCATTAACCTAATCAGAGAACACGCAATTCATGTTGCATGTTGAATGTAAGGACAAAAGGGGTTGAAACTTAAAAAAAAACTTAGAAAAAGATAATATTTAATATTTGTCACTTTTTTTTGTTTTGTTTTTTTTCAAGACAGGGTTTCTCTGTGTAGTCCTGGCTGTCCTGGAACTCACTCTATAGACCAGGCTGGCCTCGAACTCAGAAGTCTGCCTGCCTCTGCCTCCCAAGTGCTAGGATTAAAGGCATGCGCCACCACTGCCCAGCTTTGTTACACTGTATTGAACGAATCTACCTCATTGTAAGACACAGCCACAGTCATCTGCCGAGCCCTTCTGTCCAAGGCTGCAGCCAGAGCTGGACCATGGTCAAGTTTTGCGCAATGTTAAATGTGAAGAAAATATTTCTGTCGTTACTAATTTGGTCACAGTGGGAAGATGTATCCTTACTTCAGGAAACATGCAGAAACAAAAAGCTCCTATTTGATTTTGAATCTCTCACATTGTACATTTCAAAACAAAATTGTGGGACATTGGCAAAATCATTAGGCTCTGGGCTTTTATCATCAGATAGCCAGACCAGAGATGTCTCAAATTACACTCCTGTTAACAGGAAAAGATGGAATATATTGGTTAGAGAAATGTGGTGTTATGAGGTTGTGTCCATGATAAGTATTTAAAGAATTCCAAAGATTAAAGATTAAATTGCATGAGTAACGAGGGCCTTTATATCATCTTTAATTTTTATCATCAATAGTTATATGTATATATATAACATCTTGAGAGTGTCCACTACAGATGCCAGCCAGAGCTGACCAGGTATTCACTGGTCAATATTTTGCATACCTGCTCTGCAATGCTGTGTTCATCTCTGAAATGCAACATTGTTTATGAGGTTGGTGTCTCTTAGTTTTTGAGAAAATCACCCCAACGAGTATAAAAAAGCGGGACATAAATATCTTGTACTGGATTGGAATGGTGGATTTTTCCCAAAAATGCTAGTATTCATTATAGTTTACTTGAGAGGAAAGTAAGAAAAGTATTCCTGTAGCTCACAAGAGATTTGGAGACTGTAATAGAGGTTAGATATACTAAAGGTGAATGAATAGTATGTTTTAATATTAGTATTTTACTACTCAGTGGGCAGTAGTGATAAACGGACTGTATTAATGGTTTCTGAAAGAGGAGACGATTATAAAAACTCTCTTCCCTGTAAACATCCACATTGCTGGATAGCCCCTAAGATTCACAAGCAGATTTAACAAACTGACGTTATTTAATTTCATCTTGACTGTGGCCTTATACTTAAGACAGGGAACCTGATGTCTGCCCTGCTTTCATGCAAGGGAGATGTGCTGATGGTACTTGCTTATACCCCTGTGGTGTTCCTGCTGTTTACTAAGACCAACCCATGACCCACAGTCACACATAGGCAGTGCTGTGGTTGTACTTCTTTCAGAAGAATGTGCCTTGTTATTAGAGTGAATTTAAGAAGAATCCTTTCACTGAACCAGGAGAGGCACTAAGTCTACCCTTGCTAATGGTGTTGGGTTTCCTCTAATGGGCTATCTAGTATAATGCCACACACTGAACCTCACACACAATGCTATTAACTGAAATAGGAAAGCTTTGACATATGGTGACTTTTACTGATGATCAGGGAGTGGTCATCAGTCTTATCATGGTGAACAGAATAATGGGGAAATGCAATGTTGGTTCTCCCAACATGTAGTCTCCTTGGCCATTGTCCATAGGGAAGACCTTGGCTTCTTCAATCAGCTTCTTGGGTCTTCTCTTCACCATTGGTGGCTTTTTACTGATCAAGTGGTCTATCCATATACTGACTACACAGGATGCTCCAACTGGAGGGCTATGGTCCTTCAGCTTACAGGACAATGGCTATTGGCTGTGACTGAAACATTGATGAGAGGTTCTGAGCATAGAGTAATGCATCTGTTGATACAGGAGTTTGCCAGTGTTATCGGAAATAATAATTCTTAACATCAGTCGGGGCATTTACTTGATGTTTGTCCATTTTTACAGGGAGATGAGGAAGGGGAACCAGGATCATAATAGACTGCATAGAAATAATCATAGTCAATTAAAATGAAAAATATATTTAAAGTACAAATTGCCACATATTATAGTATATATCACACATGTTTATGCACTCTTTGTAAATAAGACAGGTAGAACAAGTCTTTTGAAAAACATTTGAAAGATTTATTAGGACACTGGATTATAGAGTAGATATTTTTATTAAAATTGTACTATAATGGAATTGAGATTTTACAGAAAGAATAAAGCTCTTTCTTGTATAAAAGAAGCAGAAGGAGAGGCTGTTTTCAAACAGCCTCATCCATCATATTTTTATACACAAATTAGATATACCAAGGGGATCTGGTATCTGGTTATGTGGTGTGCTAAGTATACATTAAATCAAGAAAATCATGGAATAATAATTTCACTTATCCCCACATGAGAGCAGTGCTAGCAGTATCTACTGGAGAGGCTGATGTCATCAGAAGGCACGTGGTGACTGTTCCCCTCTCTTGCTTACAGGCAGCCTCTTTAACTGTGGACTCCTGCTCAGAGAATCAAGAGCCAGGCTACTGCACTGTCAGTAATGTTGCAGTGTCAGACGACTGGTAAGTAAAACAATAACTCTGTTCTCGTCATCATTGAAATTAAGATTTACAAGAACTTTAAAATAAGTATTCTCCAGATTTAACATTTCTTCAATTCCTTAAAGAGATATTCATTCTAAAAAGTAATGAATGCCAGGGAAATTTTATTTTAATGTTGAGTTTAGAGGTTGAGTCAAAGATAAGGAATGCAGTGTTTACTGCAGCAAGAGCGGCTTAGATTGTCCTTTATGAAGTGCTTTTATTTTTCCTGAATTCTTCAAGCCTGTGAGACATGATCACCACTCAATCTGACACATTCTCTTCACATTGTGCAGTAATTAATGCATGTTTTCTAATAGCACTTCAAGCTGAATTGTAGCATTGGCCAATCGAAGGCATAAGGAACTTTGTCAGGGGAGAGAAGTGGAAATGCACAGTGACCTCTCACCCAGTTTTATCAATATGCTTCAGGGCTTGCTTTGGCCTTAGAGAACCACAGAGATCAGTCTTTACTTCTGTGCATTTGGTCTTCACTACAACGCTCTTTTTCTTTTTCATCTTTCTTTCTTTCTTTCTTTCTTTCTTTCTTTCTTTCTTTCTTTCTTTCTTTCTCTCTCTCTCTCTCTTTCTTTCTCTGACAACATGGCCATGTGCATTCAACTCGGATAGTTGAAAATATAGTTTCATAAGTTTCATTGTTTTTGTAATATGAAGACCAAGTAACCCTGGGAGCACCTGCTTTGAGAATGGATGTTGACCTGTGATGCTCATTTCCGAAAAGCTAAGTAATTGAGTAAAATGTGCCGTGCGGGTTCTGAAATCTTTTCCCTTTCATGTTCACATAGGACTCTTGATGTTCAGCCAAACCGAGTCACTGTTGGAGGAATCAGATCACTGGAGCCAATCCTTCAGAGGAGGGGGCAAGTGGAGAGCCATGATTTCGTGGGCTGTGTAATGGAGTTTGCTGTCAATGGACGACCCCTGGAGCCTAGCCAGGCTCTGGCAGCACAAGGCATTCTTGATCAGTAAGATTGTATTTCTTATCATTAAACAATGCAAATGTAGACAATGGAGCATTCAAAGGCTCCAATTGAGTCCTTTCCTGATTGACAGGGCTTTTGTGATGTGGCCTGACCTGTAACTTGTCTGCATCCTCTTCCTGGTCACTCTATCCCTGCTGTTTCCCACATCCAGTGATCTTAGTTCACAATAGGACTTCATACTGCTGTTTCCTCAGCCTGGAATGATCTCAAATGTTACCACTCATTGAGATCTCAATATAAAAGTCCTTCCCTTACCCTCAATCTGAAGATACAGGAACTCCCTATGTTCATACACTCTTAAATTTATACAGAGGAGCTCTGGCTAAAAATCTATGTAAACCCTGTTCCCCTTATTGTCTGTTATTGTCACAGGGGGACAAAGCTCTTCTCCATGAGTATGTGGATTTATTTCATCCCATTATGTACATGTTTGGTGTCATACCTGGCTTGTAAATAGGCGGTGAATAAGACTGAATTACACATGTCTTTGTGGAGTACACATGGGCCTAATTAACATGTGACTCTGGACCATCCTATTCAAGGATTTCTGGACCATTATGCCCTTATAGAAATTGTCACCTTTAGCTGTCATTGTATGAAGTCTTTTATTTAGCTTTCTTCTTTAATGTGTGTTAGGTTGTGTTATGGGGTTCTATGTCTTTAATTGCTGCAGGGTAGCTGGCATGAGCCCCTTCACGTCCTGCAAGCTTCCATTACGCGCATTGATCAGTCCGTGTCTGCTTCAAGACAAGTTTCCTTCTTCCAGTTTGGTGCTTCACCCTTCCATTATGTGACTCTCTTGTAGGTGTCCTAGACTAGAAGGCACGTGCACTCGAAACCCCTGCCAGCATGGTGGCACCTGTGTGGACTTCTGGTCATGGCAGCAGTGTCAGTGCATGGAGGGCCTGACTGGGAAGTATTGTGAAAAATGTAGGTCGCCATTTTCATCTTCTCAGAGCTCCATTGCAGCCACAGAAAGTATTTATAGGTGCACCCAAGAATGTTACTGCATTTGGACTCTAACATGGTCATTATTATTTAAAGTGGGGTACAATACAATAGTGGTTATAAATTGGTCTCTTCTCTGAAGAATCAAAGAACTTGACTTAGTTTCATGTTATAAATGTATCATGGGTTATTTTATGTCACATATCAGGTAGTTAGGAACTCTAAAACTTCAGCAACTATATTGAGGTTGTAGATCAATATTGTTTATGGTCAAGCAATATTTCTCTGGTCACAATTTTTTATATCTGGCAGAAAAAAAATTTACCTGCAGTATTACCAAATAGTGTACAGCTCCAAACACTGTGGTAGTTAATGTGTTAAAAATAAAAATCACAGTCTATTTTAACTTAAATTGGTTTTGAGTAGTGCTATCTCAGTCTGCTCATTAATGACTTTATGTTTAATCTCTAATCTTACGGTGATTAAGTATCCATAATACTGGAGTCATCAGCAACGAATTGCTCTCTAATGGAAAGCTGTGTATTCTATTCTACCCTGAGCCCTTAGGGCTGCCTATATAAGAACTGTTTTATTTTGAAATGAACGATTATTACTTAATTCAGCTACAGGCACCTGATGACCTTTAAAGGAACAATTTGTTGCTACTGTTATAGAGAATGAAGAGAAATGAGTGACAGAATTGGAATGTATTATAATCCAGAAGATATTAGAGGCAGACAGCCTAGATATATCTTAATATCGATGTATCTTAGCATCCTGGCTATAACAGAGAGAGAGAGAGGGAGAGAGAGAGAGAGACAGAGGGACGGAGACACAGCGAGAGACAGAGACAGAAACAGAGAGAGAGAGAGAGAGAGAGAGAGAGAGAGAGAGAGAGAGAGAGATTCATTTTTATAAGCCTAGAAATAATTCTGCTCATATTACTCTGTTTATCTGTGTAGAGTGCACCCAGGGCAGAGATCACTCCATTTCCCCAGCATCCCTTCCTGAGTTATGTTATTAGTTTTCATGAAGTAAATGTTTTGCTTATGAACCGGGACTCTATTATCAGGTTTGATGATGTGTTCCATAACAATGGCCTCAGGTAGAGCTAGTTATAAGTGGAAATCTTTGACTGGATACTTTTTGAGGGTCCATAATTTTAAAAATCAGAGACTAGAGGGTAAAAAGACTAAAGAATCAAAGATTTCCAACTGTAAAAGTATATTTGCTTATTAATTTCAGGAATGCATTGAAATTGGGTCAAGTCTTGAGTTGTGCAGTTTAGCAGTTGGCTGTGTGTTCCGTGTCCAGGCTTTCTGTCCCATAGCAAAGAGTTTAGATGATGAGTCCCCAAGTGACTAATGATTGTCATCAAGGGGTTTTATGTTTCACAGACCCAAAAAGGATTCAACCATTGGAAATACACTGGCAAAATTATTCACAAATGGAAATTGTTTTCTCAGAGGAAGACCAGGGACAGTGGTTTTAGAAACTTGAGCTTTTGTCATTTTTAAATACTCTCTGCCACTCTGAAAAATGCTCTAAAAAATCCAGTGAATGCCTTCAATTTTCTCCCTTTCTTCTTGTTTTTTTAGCTGTCACTCCAGACACTGCATTGTCATTAGAAGGCAAAGGTCGTCTGGACTACCACATGAGCCAGAGCGAGAAGCGGGAATACTTGCTGACTCAAAGCATACGGGGTGCCGCATTGGAGCCTTTTGGTGTCAACAGCCTGGAAGTAAAATTCAGGACTCGGAGTGAGAATGGCATTTTGATCCATATCCAGGAAAGCAGCAATTATACCACGGTGAAGGTGAGAGAAGAACCCATGGTGACCCATCAGAGGACTCCTACCTGCTCTGGGGGCTCGGTCACTTCCCCACAAATTCTGCTGTCTTCTTTACACAAGTCTTAGAGTTCTCTCTAATGTTTGGCAGTGGTCCAATATCATCCATCCTAAATGTTTCCAGGGCCTGGGCCAGTGTAAAAAATAAAACCTGAGAAGGCCAGTTTCTAAACCTGTGTCTTCTTTTAGAGTGAAGTCAACTGTCAGATAGGCCAGAATGGATAGGTTATCAAGTGTGTTTTGCCTGATAAAAATCAGCATCACTTTCCCATCTACTGTAAGCAAACTAAAACATGAAGAGTGTACCTTGATTATGAAGAGTTATATTTCATCAATAATTATTTTAAACACTGCTAACATAAGTTAAATGCTAAGATGAGAATAAGTTTTGGAAATTATCTGACTTTCTTCTGAAATACACTTTTCATTCATCACCTAGGAAAAATCCATGAAGTTGAATGTATTTGGTATTTATTGCAAGTAAAATTTCTTTTTGTTTCTCCAAATAAGTTTTGATGAGAGGGAGAGGGGAAGGGAGAGGTTGGGGGGAGAGGCAGGAACCTGCGTGAGGGCTATATTCTCAGTCCTATGGAGACAGAGATGAGGTGGTGTCCTATCATTCTCTACATTATTTCCTTGAAACAAGGTCTCTCTTTGTGCTTGGAATTCACCTGTCTGCTTTCTTGGCTGACCATGTACATTTAGGATTTGCTTGACTCCTTTGCAGCTATTGACATGGGTGCTAGAGTCCTATACTCAGGCTCTCACACTTGTATAGCAAGCATTGAGCCATTGCTCTTCCCACTTTAAATAAAATAAAAAGACTCAAAACAATAATTTTTGAAATATGTATTCAAAAGTAAGAGTGGATTTCTCTCTAGGATTTTACTTCTAGTTTCCTCTCTATGGCTATAAGTAAAAACCAGATATTCACAAGCCATGAGCCATCCTTTTCCCACCCCTGTGACTTTCTAAGAGTCTTAAATGAGAACCACAGTCTTTCATATAGATATTAGCAACAGTTCACCCACAGATCTTGTAGTTAGTTCCATCAACTGTTTAACAAAAACATTGTATTTTATAATTTTATTGATACTTCTGTATTGATTTTAGAAAATTCTTACAACAAACCCATACTTACTGACTTATTTTTTGCGTATCAAAAGTTTGTAATACACAGAATGGTGTTAGCAATTATTTGATTTAATTCACAAATAATATTAAAATCAAATTGATTCTTATCATTAAATTTTAGGTTTTGGTTTTCCAGGTTTCTCAGTGCAGCCAGCTCTTCCCGCTATATCTTAGGTGTCTATTTTCAGTAAGGCACAAAAAGATTAACTCTTTTTTCTGGTGATCTACTAGTATCTATTTTCCTTAGGCATTTGTTTCTAGATGTAATTACTCCCTAAGGTGGGAGTGTTACCCCCTTTTTGGATATGTTGTTTATTGGACGGTGATGTTGTTACTACCATGTAGTTGCTGGAGATTAGAGTTGAGCACCCTAAAATACAAATAGTTCCCTAATGGAGAACCGTGCGATCAGAAATGTCAGTCAGTGTGGAATTTGAGGGCCCTGATTTCCTATAAGGACATCTTCACATTTTCACTTTCCTTTCATTACTTAGACAAATATCTTGGTTCCTCAATCAGTATAACTTATGAAACAAAGAAGTGTTTGAATTGTACTCAATATGTGCTCTTTATAATTTCTATTCAAAAGCAAATTAGAAGCAATGATGGCAGAAGATATCAAGAGAGCCGTGGACATGCCCTAAAGAGCCAGGATCTAAAGAGAGTGGACTCTGCTTCCTAGAACACCAGGCCTTTCTGGGAGGGGACACTGACAGGACTCTGCTCAAAGTCCCTCCATTCTGAGAAGCCACACTACAGTTTTTGCATGAGATTATCCGTGACACTGCTTCCAAGTCCAGACGCCATTTAAATGACATATGACACATTGCTATCTGCACTCTCCTTCAGCTAAGACATTCAGATGATGTATAACACGGTTGAAGAAGTGAGAGCTTCCGTCAGGAAGCAGCTGAGTGTTAGGGTCTGTCGTTGTCACCATGAAGTTCAATAGGATGGCAGCTTGTGCCTCCTCAACAAGGTGTCACAGAATTAAAAAAGAATTGGGCAAAATAACTAGCAAATAGCAGCTATGACATTTAGTGAGAAAATTGTGAGTAGCAAGTTTTCAAAACTAAGGAGCTTGGCAGGTGAAATAAGTAGAAAAGGAAAAAGCAGCCAGAAAAATAAAAAGAGCAAAATGGACCCAGAAAGAAGCCATGCTGGGCAGGAGACGAAGGGGCCTGTTGGAGTGCAGTTGAGGAAGGCTGGGACAGAATGTGCTGTTCTAATGTCAGCTGCTGCCCAGCCAAGAACCATGGTTTTTGTTTCTTTTGGCTCACCATCTAACCATTTCTTAAACTCTTCATTTATTGAGCTCCCCGCTTCTCTTTATGTCTCTCTGTCTCTGTCTCTATTTCTCTCTTTCATACACACACACACACACACACACACACACACACACATGCATACATAGATACACACATACATATGCACACATACACACACACATACACATGCACACATACACACACACACATACACACATTAATTCCCATAAGGTTCTGGATGATTGAGTGTTTGATGATATAGTTAAAATAATAATCCAGGGGAGAATTCTAGAATGCTTCCACTCTGATAACTTAATTTACATATATATATATATATATATGAGTTTATATATATATATATATACATATATATATGTATATATATTTGACATTTACATATACATATGCAGTGTGTGAGTGTATGGTGTTTGCATGTAAGAGAGGTGCATACACTGTAGGCCACAGCATGACACTTCTTGTCTTCTTCTATTTTTCTCTGCCTGATTGCTTTAGATGGGTCTCTTACTAAACTGGAGCCTTACATATTGCTAAGCTGTCTAGCAAGAAAGCTCCCAAGATCCTTCCCATCAGTGCTGGCATCATGTGGCTGTGCCCAGCTTTTTATGTGGGCATTGGGGATTTGAACTCAGGTCCTCATGCTTACAAAGAAGCTCTTTTACCTTCTGATCCAATTCTCTAGCTATAAAAATATTTTTATTTTTGAATTATCACATTAAAATATTACTATATGACTGGTATATGTTCCTGGAAGTGTTCCTTACATATAGACATGGTGTCTGAGCTGAGTGATACACAGAATTAATCCACGCTTTCCCTTCAGTCACTCCTGGGTCACTGCATTTCTTTGCCTGGACAGCAGTCTTATCTGGCAGCAGGGATGGGAAGGGCTCTCTGACCCATGGGCTCATCTTGCCTTACAAATTATTAATTTTCTAAAGGATCAGTTCATAATACTGGAAACTTTCAAGTTGGAAACTGGAGTGTCCTGTTACCTAGTGTTCTAGTGGGTGAACTGACAGACATCCAATTCCTTTAGATAAATTGAACAGACAGCTGTAGTGAAGGCCTGGCCAAATTCCCTGTTACTTTATGATATTCCACCTTGGAAATGAAATCATGAACCCCATTTTCCCTAAAATTCCATTTGTTGTGGGACACGAAGAAAAGCTACTTTGTCATTGTTTTTCCAACTGCTCTGCCCTTTGTAGCTTCCTATTCACTTTTTGGACTTGTGAGTTTCTATTTTATGTTTTAAAACCACTCTAGCCTCTTTATTAAACCTAGTGATTTAGCATGCTTCCCTCTGTCCATGAAATACAAATAATCTCAATTAGTTTCGATTATTTAGACTACCTAGTCACTTCAATATTTCAGCTTTGTTCTGGAAAGTTAGATGACCCTCAGGAAACTCCTTATAAAACTAAAACCTGTTAGAATTAGTAAATAAGTAATTATATTGTTTACAATTGCCATGATGATAAAAGTGAGCACATTGTAATCCCACAGACTCCTCAGCCATTCCAACCAACTCCTTTAGGTTGCTCTGTATTTTAAATACGTCATTTTCATTTAAGGATATCATGTTTGACCTGTGCATTGTTTTTAATGCATCTTTCAGATTAAGAACGGCAAAGTACACTTTACGTCAGATGCAGGTGTAGCCGGCAAAGTGGAGCGCATCATTCCAGAAGCATATATTGCCGACGGCCATTGGCATACCTTCCGGATCTCAAAGAATGGAAGCACCACCGTGCTGTCTGTAGACAGGATACACAACAGAGACATCGTCCACCCCACACAGGACTTTGGTGGCATCGAGGTGCTTTCCATGTCTCTGGGAGGAATACCCCCCAACCAAGCCCATCGAGACACTCAGACAGGTAAATGCCTAGTATATCCCAGAAGACAATAAAGCAAAGGAAAATCTGCTCTTCAAAATGAAGGTGATTTTTCTGGTGAACAGGGGATAGAATGGGGGTAATGACTCGCTTCCACAGCGTAATTCTATCACAGTGTAGATTTTACAAAAGCAGTTGGATTTCTGATACTGTGATGATGAGTCTTCTCATGAACATAACTGTCTTTAGAGAGATTGGGATCAGGGCCCTATCACTCCCGTTAAAGGTTTCCATCTATGCTGCTGAAATCTGATTTAAGCATGGACTGCTCTGAAACCTGGCTTGTCCTCAGGGACACTGCCTATTCACTCCTGTGTTCGTCAAAGCCGGTTGGTCTCCCAAGTAACGCAGGAGACCAGAGTAAGAAATATCCATCAAGTCCTCACAGGGCATAGATGTGACTTTATGTCAGTGGTACAAAAGGAAATGCAGAGACCCGTGTGTTCTTAAGTCAGAAGGACGGTGAAGAGTATTTAAATGTTTAATTGATGGAAAATGTGAGCACGGAGGCAGATAATGAAACTGGGGAATAAAAGAGGGCGTTCTGGTTGGAAAGTGTGGACTTATTTATTTCACATGCAGAACAGTGAAGAGCAATTAAGATTTTAATGAGCATTGCAGTTAAGCATGCTATGGTATTGACCATCTTTCAGGCTGTTTATGAGAATGGCTGTTTAGAGAGGAGTTCTAGGACCAGGTGTTAGCAGCCAGTATCTGGAAACCACTACATTATGGAAAGATATTTTTTTAATGGGATGGCCAAGGTGTGATATCCAAGTAAATGGACCCAAAGTGATCTGGAGGTCATCTTCAGTAAAGATACAGGAGAACTCTGACTTTTCATCTCGAACAAGCTTAGTGCTACCAAGTAAGGGGACTGTTGAAGAGAACAGAGAAGCAGATCTCAGGGAATCCTGGGGTTTTCTATGGAACAAATGGACTTGAAGCACCTTTGAAAGACATCAAATGGATGGGAGGGAATGGGGATAGACTTGGGCTAGAGATGTCAGCGCCGTGTGTGTAATGGAGTGTCGGTGGGTGTAGATAAGATGGGTGGTGGTCCCAGGTGGGTGTTCCTGAGATAAGGGTGTATAGGAAGCCAGGGGTCTAACCTCGAGCAACTCCAAAAGGGAAGGAGGGTTTAAAGAATAATGTGTGGAACAAATGTGTGGAACTTTCAAAGAATTCAAAATGCCACTGAAAGAAAGAGGAAAAGAAGCCAAAATCCAGGGACGCAGAGTCAGGAATCAATGTCCAAGGAAATTCTGGAGAGAGTACATCAGACTGACAATTGTCTCTTGGGTGGGAAAGTGTCTCAGAACAGAGAAAAACACAAAATGTGGTACCAATAATAGAATTAAAGCATAACAATAAATTCTAGATTAGAAGTCCTTCCTTATATTTAATGGATTTTAGGATATGCACCATCTATTCGGATTTTGTAAGAAATCAAGACAGTATAGATCCCACTAGTCTGTTACTCAAAGTAAATTCTTATGCCCTCAGATCGGAGCTCTCTGACATCAGTGAACTCAAGCCCAGTCAAGAATTTCTTAGTTGTTTCTATCATTATTATTCACTACTAATAAACTCCTTGGGATATTTTTGTTTTCTGACTCCTGCATCCTGACCATTTGCAACGTGGGTGCCCAAGCTACCACCCCATCCTAAGAAATCCCCAAACACTATGGCTAAGGTTTTTCTTTTGATCCACAAGGGCCCATTTTTGCCTCTTTGGAAGGTGTCTAGTCAGTGACTGCAGTTGTAGCAATTGGCCTTGATTTTGCTCTTTCTGATTGCATAAAATAAACTTGATCTTTCAGTAACTCTTAGTCTTTGGTCTGTAAGAATCAAACCAATAAACTGATAAATCGTTAAATGAATGAAAAGGGAGAGGAGGATCAAGACAATTCTCGCTATGGAGATCTTCCTAAATGCTCTGATTCTCCCCATGTGTTACCGAGCTACATGGATCTGAGTTAGTCTCAGAGGACATGCATTCCCTGTCTTTGAGCTAGAGCATGGCTGAGAGTCTCTTGGGTGACTTTGGGGGCTTCTCTTCTTCAGATCTCAGCACTGAGATGTGAAATGGTTGTTTTTTCTCTAAATTGCCTCCTATTCTACAGCCCTGACAGGTTTTAATGGCTGTATCGCCTCAGTGCTCTATGGCGGAGAGAGCCTGCCCTTCAGTGGGAAGCACAGCTTGGCCTCCATCTCCAAAACCGACCCTTCAGTGAAGATCGGCTGTCGGGGTCCCAATATCTGTGCCAGCAACCCCTGCTGGGGTGATCTTCTGTGTATTAACCAGTGGTATGCCTACAAATGTGTCCCTCCTGGTGACTGTGCATCCCACCCTTGCCAGAACGGAGGTAGCTGTGAACCAGGTCTACTCTCTGGCTACACTTGCAGCTGTCCAGAGTCACATACTGGGAGGACCTGTGAGACGGTGGTGGCCTGCCTCGGTGTTCTCTGTCCTCAGGGCAAGGTGTGCAAGGCTGGAAGTCCCGGGGGACACGTGTGTGTCCAGAGTCAGGGTCCAGATGAGATCTCCTTACCGCTGTGGGCTGTGCCTGCAATTGTGGGCAGCTGCGCCACAGCCCTAGCGCTGCTAGTCCTCAGCTTGATTCTATGCAACCAGTGCAGGGGAAAGATGGCCAAAAACTCCAAAGAGGAAAAGAAGCCAAAGGAGAAGAAGAAAAAGGGCAGTGAGAATGTGGCTTTTGATGACCCAGACAACATCCCTCCCTATGGAGATGATCTAGCTGTCAGGAAGCAACCTGAGGGGAATCCCAAGCCAGACATCATAGAGCGAGAGAATCCCTACCTAATCTTTGATGAGACTGACATCCCCCACAACTCAGAGACCATCCCCAGTGCCCCGCTGGCTTCCCCTGAGCAGGAGATTGAACACTACGACATCGACAATGCCAGCAGTATCGCGCCCTCAGATGCAGACATCATCCAGCACTACAAACAGTTCCGAAGCCACACGCCTAAGTTTTCCATCCAGAGGCACAGTCCTCTGGGCTTCGCCAGGCAGTCCCCTATGCCCCTGGGAGCAAGCAGTCTGACATACCAGCCTTCTTCATATGGCCAGGCGTTAAGAACCAGCTCCCTCAGCCACTCGGCCTGCCCCACTCCCAACCCTCTGTCCAGGCACAGCCCAGCTCCTTTCTCCAAACCATCTGCTTTCTACAGGAACAGCCCAGCCCGGGAACTGCACCTTCCTCTGCGGGATGGGGGTACGCTGGAAATGCATGGGGACCCCTGTCAGCCTGGCATGTTCAACTACGCCACCAGGCTAGGGAGAAGAAGTAAGAGCCCTCAGGCCATGGCCTCACATAGCTCGAGACCCGGGAGTCGCCTCAAGCAGCCTATAGCACAGATCCCTCTAGAATCTTCTCCTCCCGTGGGACTCTCCATTGAGGAGGTAGAGAGGCTCAACACCCCTCGCCCTAGAAACCCCAGCATCTGCAGTGCAGACCATGGGAGGTCCTCTTCTGAAGAAGACTGTAGAAGACCCCTGTCCAGAACCAGGAACCCAGCAGATGGCATCCCTGCCCCAGAATCTTCTTCTGACAGTGACTCCCATGATTCCTTCACATGCTCAGAAATGGAATACGACAGGGAGAAGCCGGTGGTCTATACTTCCAGGATGCCCAAGTTATCTCAAGTCAATGAATCCGATGCAGATGATGAAGATAATTACGGAGCCAGACTGAAACCCAGAAGGTACCATGGACGCAGGGCTGAGGGGGGACCGGTGGGTACCCCTGCAGCAGTGTCTGGGGCTGCAGACAGCACCCTAAAGCTGGGGCAGCAGGCTGGCAACTTCAACTGGGACAACCTTTTGAACTGGGGCCCAGGCTTTGGTCACTATGTGGATGTCTTTAAAGATTTGGCCTCTCTCCCAGAAAAAGCAGCTGGTAACGAAGAAGGTAAAAGCGGGGCAGCTAAATCAGCTCCCAAAGACGGGGAGGCAGAACAGTACGTGTGAGGTGTATGTGTGGGCAAGAAACACTCAAAACACGGTGTGACTTCTCAACAGCGGTGGTCACCTTTGTAAAACAGGCCAGTATAGACCAGTGGCCAGGGACACGTTTAAAATTAACCACAAAGCTGCTCACATAGACTCCAAACGACTCTTTAATTTAAATGTGCTTGGTGGAACGGAATGATCCTCCTGCATGCATCTTGTTTGGTGATGAGTTTTGGGGCATGCAACATTGGGAAATTTTGCTTTGTGTTTGGTTTGTGGTTTTTTATACCATTACAGTTGTAGACATAAGCTTGTCCTTTCACAGTGGGGTTGCTTGTTTCCATTGTAGTGTTATGGTTGTGTTTTACCTTGTAAGATCATTTAAGTTTAACCAACCCGTGTAAAGTGCAGGAAGGAGCACTTCCCATCTTGGAGGGATGAAGGACTGCACATTAACACTCTTCAGACGTATAGACACATATGTGATGTTGCTCAGACACGATAAGGGCTTGTTTTACATGACGGTGGGTACTAAGATTAAGTCATTTTGTTCCGCACTTTAAAGCTACATTTCAAAAAACTGTGTTGACACTTGTGTGTCTCTGTGCGAACAGTCATGGCCTCCTGACTTACCTCAGGCTTCCAGGAAGAACAAGATGACCACATACTGTCCCCAGAACACTGCCAACTTCCTCTTCCGGAATAACGTTCTCAGCGCACTTCTAAGAGACAATTTTTAAAGTTATTTATTGAAGAAAAAAGTTCTATGCTTTTAACATTGTAACAAATTGACCTATGCAGGCCCTAATTGGTTTTATTTTCTAGGCATTCAACATTTACCCCAAGTACCCAGTTTTTATAATTTATATAAAGTCAGATTGCAACGTTTCTTATTTTCTGTCGTTTTGTAGATCATTTTTTAATACTGTGTAAAACTTTTTTTTTTTTTTTACACCTGAGCTGTGGTTTTGATACTGATATTTTCCTATGCCGGAAACTTTTCTTGCTTTCAGGGAAGGTAAGAAAATGTGTTTTTTACATTTGTTACTTATGTAACATTCATATTTTCACAGTTTGATATCTGTAACATACTGTATGCTTTCTACCTGTAAATGCCAACAATAGAATTAAAATATTTATTTAAAATGCTGTGTCCTAGGGTGAATATCAGTTTCTATCTTTCTCTGTTCTAATGTGGGCAATTGAGAATATTATTATTATTATTACTATTATTTTTGGTAGAGAGACAGATAGCAAGATAAACTTACAGAGACCATACCCCTTTCTGTTAAAAAATGGAACTGTGCATCACAGCCAGCAAAGATATCCTAAAGCCACCCAGTGCATTCCTGCTTCCAGGGTCCTGGTACTTCTCTGCAGGAAGCTGAATCTAAGTTCATAGGGTCCTGGGGGACCAGCATTGTGAGCCCTGTCTAAGCACATTCGCTATTTAGCACTTTCCCAGTCAGGTCAGTTCTATGAGAAACAGCTTCTGACTGGGCTTATGGCTATAAAAGCAGTCATGAGTTAAAGCTAATTGTGAAAGTTCTTCAGCCCTGGTTTTCTTCAAGAGTACAGATCCATATTTTTCTAAGTCCAAGGCAGGTAAGAGAAATGTAAGGGAAGATCTACATGTAGCTATCCTTAACTCATTATCACTCTCCCACAGAATGTCTATACAGTGAGCATGCTCTCGTAGCTGAGGCTAACTCCTCTTTTCTAGAATGCAGAAAGGCAAAGTGACTCCACAGAGAGTGGCACCCAACAGGACCTATTTGTTTATAAAGAGCCACAGTACATTTTAAAATAATTTTCCCTCACCCCTCCCCAGAACATTCTAGAATTAAATATATGCCCTAAACCTTGTATTTGCTGAGAGGCTTCCTTGACACCAACCATCAGACATCATCCTACAGCTGAAGGATTTACAACATACACAAAATCTTCTGATTCTAAAAGCACCAAATAGCCTGAATTTCTTTCTGGCATTTTAAAAAATGTTGGAGTTATTATTTGTGTTTCAGAATAAGAATTACAACATGGATTATAATCTAAATCATGATAACCATTGAATGTGGTTTAAACTATAGTATCAGATGCTGATCTAATTTTGTCTTTTTGGGTCACCTGTGATGGAGCAAACTGTCTCAGTGAGTCTTAGTGTTTCAAGTTTATTCCCCAAATATGGGAATATGTTCATGCCTTTGTCTAACTCAAAACAGAAAACTGTTTTCCCTCTGAGGAATTTCTGAAGCATCTTGGTGTCCTTAAACTCTCTAATTCAAAACAGAGCTAAGAGTAAACCAGTAAACCCAATCATAGCTACACATTAAAGGAGGAGAGCTGGGTGCGGATAATTCTCTGAGTTTGAATTCTCATTGCCCTCTCCACTGATCTTAGATCAGGGTAAATGGAAGTCTTACAAGGAAATTGTTAGTATTTTCTCCTCTTAGTCCAAACCCCCCAACGGATGCGAGGGAAGCCTTTACGCAAGGAATCAAATCTCTGAGTAGCGAAGGTCTCACATAGAATCTAAATCAATACTCTACGTCCCAAAGTCATAATGTGGCAGGAATATTCTGTCTGGGGGATGTGATGGGCGATTTAACAAGGTAATAATTTCAACAAAATAAATGGTTGATCTCCACTTGAGCGTTCACACACAAAATCACAAACTTGGAGTTTTATATAAACCCTGAAAGACTTGCTGGGATTCCTGGAATATGGCTGCTTTTTTCATTCTCTTGTGTCTCTCAGCAGAATATCTTGATTTACTTTCAAGGGGAATCTTAAGAGCCCTCTTAACTCCCTGGCAGGAAGAAAGAGGGGCTTGTATTAGCAGCCAGGAGCAGAGGTAGTTACCAGGTCCTGTGCCACAGGCTGAGCACAGAGCTCCCAGGACTCTGTCCTGAGAAGATCCCTGTGACTTTCAAGGTTGTTTCTAGAATTTTCTAAGTTAGCTGATTCATTGATAGCTCATTAAGATAAATTAAAACCATTATTTTTTTTTTAAGATGGGGAATGAGAAGAGCCTGGAGCAAGTTCCCCAGCTACAAGTTGTTAAGGAAATACTTATGAACAACAAGACTAATGAGAAGCAGAATCCTCACACTATTGAAAGTCATGTACTTCATAAATATTTTATTTATAAGAAAAAAAAAACATCTAAAGCAACTTTATTCCCTGCAGACATTCCATCCATGAACAAATCACTGGCATCGCAGACAGGCAAGGGTCTCATGTTATGTAAATTTGGCATTATGGTAAAATCAATCAGTGTGAAGTTAGAATTTTTGCTTTTCAACATTTTTGATTCAATAATTCAGCAGAACAGGGCTTTCTTTCCCATTTTACTTGTGGACCCAGTTTTAAAGGGAGTTGTAGTTCAAAGTAGGTGACTGGCTTTTTCTTGGGAGAAGCTAGTTCAGTAATGATGGCTGTTCCAGCACCTGACCAGGCCTCTAGTGTGCTGTAAGTCCCCACTGTCTGTTCACGTGGTGTGTAGGGAATAACATGCAGATCACATGGCTAGACAGCTGGGGGTTTGCAGGGTCTGTTAGTCTAAGAGGAGTATCAAGGTGTTTTGTATAAATTCAGTAGTTTCTTTGTTTTGGATGAGGAGAAAGGCATTATATTCTAGGAAGTTCAGAGAAAGCATGTCAGTGGTTCAATCCTTGCTAGCACAGGTATAGTATCTGTGTGAATGGCAGTCCACAGCAGGCTCCGGCAGTGACACTGTAGAAGGGCTTCACAGCATGCCTTTGAATTCACTTGCTTTGTTCAGAAGGCAAAACAAGAATTCCTCTAGTGACCATGACTCATCCATACTGTCTCTGTTGCCATCCCAGATATAGAGGGAAATAAAATCAATGAGAACAATTCTCAGGCAGTGGATGGCAAAGACGGCCATATTCTGTTGTCACCAACTCTTGTGGTATGGACACACAACATTCCCTGAGAAGCAGCTTGGAGAAGACTACATTTTAAAAAAAAATTGAGTTTTATATTTTAAGCATCGAATATTTGTAACAAAAATATTTTTTAAAGTGAATAAGATAGATGCTTTATCAGGAGAGAGTGGTGTGAAAGAGACAAGCTCAAAGCCATTGCTATTAATCTCTGTTCAATCTCAAGGTAGTCAAACATTTCCCAGAAAGCCTCTTAGGTTCTATCTTCTTATTGTTCACCCTTTGAGACTACCTCTTGCTATGTAGCTCAAGCTGGCCTTGCTCTTGTAATCCTCCTGCCTCAGCCTCCAAAGTGTTGGGGTCAGAGGTTAGTACCACCGCATGCAGTCCTCGAACAGCATCTTAATTAAACTTTAATCATTTGGAATGAGCAGAAGCAACTCCGTATCTGCATCACTAATACAGTGGTTAGTATGTTGTACCATCAGTGCGATCCAAGTAGAGTGCTGGGGGATGACTCTTGGAGAAGTCTTTTCAAGCACTGCATAGTATGAAAATGCAGGACTCATTATGGAGTTAGAATTAATATGAACAGTTCTGAAATCACCTAGTTGTTATCAACACAGATAAAGAATGCTTGTGTTTAGTAAAGGAAAGTGTTGAATTGATACCAGACCTTTTAACTCTTTATAAAACATGTGCTATGTTCAAAGTAGATTTCCTAACACCAATGTGTGAGGGAATCCCCTTGTCTGAAGAAATAGCTACAGAGTTTACAAAATGGTACTCCCTACCAGCAGTTTTCAGGTGACCTGTTCCTACGTAATTTTACTAGTTTATGAATCTGTTTACTGAGCTCCCAAGTCTTGTTGTGAGCCACATGAGCATTGAGTCCTGGTGAGAGGCATTGGTAGTATTCTACGTTCTGTTCTAGCCCAAATAAAATAACCAATGATGGACAAAGTTCCCTGGCAGTCTCATCGATTCCTAATTTTAAATTGAAACCACATTTTATGTGATGCAGATGTTGATCAAAATAAGATTCCATTTTGCCTCAGCAGTCTGCATGCTTAAGTCATCCCTCTCACCCTCAGACTGACAGCCCTGGCCTGAAATGTGTCCTGGCACTTGATATTTGACTGAATTTAAAACATAAAATGTACCAGAGAAATGCTTATTACACAAAATTGTATAATGTAACATTTAGATCTACTGTAAAAATGTGTTAATTATTTTACAAAAGATAATCTGTAGGAAGACATGGCTGGCTGCTGAGTCTAAGGGGATAAAACTCCAAGTCAGATCATATGATTATTTTTTTTATAAAACACTAGTGAATTGTGGAAATAGCCTTGGATAAAAAGAAAGTCAGAGGTTTGTTCTCTTGCTTTGGCAGAACCATCATTGAGAGTCTTGACTTGATGAGCAGCAAATGGCTATAAAGAATAAAGGAGAGAAGACATGAAGCTGGGTGGGAAGGGTCGATCTCAGAGGAGCTGGGGAAAGGGTGCCTATGACAAAAATAGTGTACAGTGTATAAAATTCTCAAGGAACTAATAAAGAAAAAGAAATATGAATAAACAATGGTGGCCATCATTTGGTAAGGCCATTAGTGTCTCGAAAACATGTTTCATATAATTGAGGCACCAAGATCAAAATAACATCTACTACAGAGTGCTGCATGGATGTGACAGAGACATGCACGCATGCATGTTTACATGTCTAAGCGCAGAGAGAATTGAGTGGTACCCTAAGAAAAGGATGCTTGTGCTGTCATGTGCAACTTGAAAAGAATGAGTTCATGGAATCCTCAGCAGATTTTAAAGCAGCAGAGATGGTTGTATAAAGTGGAAATTTCTGATTTATCTAACAGCTCAGTGGTATCATGTGATCTTTTCCTGTCTTATGAGAGGATGTTTTGCAAAAGCAGACACGTGAGAGAATATTTGGCTGAGAACAGATATATGGTGATCTTCTGGAAGCTGTCTCATGAGAGGGCATATGATGCTTTCCTGGAACAGAAACTTGAGAGGGCACATGATGCTTAGAAAGTTGATAAATATAACCCCACAGACAGTGAGAAGATGCTCTTGTGTTGGTTCTCCTTTCAACACTTTGCTGGTCTTCCTTGATCTGATCGATGTTTGTCATGACTTCCTGGAGAGAAAAGCACCAAAGAATTTCACCAAAGAACTTCTCATAGTATTCTGGCTGCCTTTTGCTCATTTAGC